GGGGGGGGGGGGGTTTAGGGCTTAGGTTTTCAGGATTTAGGGTTTAGCGTTTCAGGGTTTAGTTAGAGTCATAGGGTGTAGAGTCACAGCTACTCTCCTTGTCGGATATGGGGTCTTTGGCTTGCGCTATCGGGTCAGGAGCACTCTCCTTGTGGGGTCTAAGGGCTTTATGGTATATAACGGTATATACAAGTCTTAGGGTTTAGGGTTTGGTGTGAAAGTCGGGCGCTTCTGCTTCTCCCACCTGACCATCTGCAAGCACAGCTTCCCCTGCTGGGTTCAGCTCATCTTCTTCTGGTCCAATCGCTTGTACCTCCAGAGCAGCCTAGGGCGTCAATGTCGGCAGTCTTCGCTGCTGTGACATACCGAACATGCGGCAAACCGTTCAGCTGAACAAGCAATTGTGTGCCTCCACAAGTGCCACCCAGTCCACGGCCTGTTCCCCGCCCAGCCAGCGATGCCGGGCAAAAGACGGCATGCTGCCGGGCAAGAGGGCTGGCAGCACATAGGATTCGATAACCCGCAAGATTTGCTCGTCTGTTGCATCGAACCCGCCCGTGAACAGCTGGAATGCGTCACCCTGCAGGTCACCACAGACGAACCCGTCCAAGATGGCCCGTTGCACAGCACGCCGAACCTGCACCCGCGACACATCATCTTGCCTGGACAGGTCTGTGCCAAGGAAGCGGTCGTACACCTGCAAACGGTACTCTTTCACAGGTCCCTCTGGCGGTTTGCGATGCATGACGACCAGTCGGCTTTGACTTCCTCGAGCAGATGAGCTAGGAAGCTTCCCCGTTTTTTGGGGCTCCCCAAAAACAGCACAGCCTTCTTGCATCCTTATCAAGTAGCACCGAACACCTCGACCACTATCCATGCCACCGATGCCATCACTGCTAATTCGTTACAGCCCGACACTTCCACTCCCCGCACTACTCTCCACCCGCAACCCACGAAAGTAGAGAACAAAAATAGGGTCTTGGGGTATATTATACCTTAATTACAATAAGGAACCCCCCAAAGCAGCCTTGGTAAATATTAAGACCCCTATATTACACTGAAGTTCTAGAACACGTCACATCGACGAGACAATGCAAATTGCAAGCATGGCCTGACGACAGCAACACTGAAGAAGCAGAACCCTAAACCCCTATATACCCCTACCTACACCCCTGAAAGTCGGTAAAATAGCCCAACACCTTCAAAAGGCTATTATTCTACATACTTCTGGGGTCCAGGTAAACCCTAAAAGCCAGCTAAATCTGCAAATAAGCTGCCGGCCTGCATGGGAGGGGGGCCTGGAGGCGGCGACGTTTTCACCTGCCGGCAAACCCTTCCCGTCAAGGGACTCTTTCTTATGTGAATGCTTTTGGGCCCAAAGGCCTATTATATGAGGCTTTCGGGCTATTTTGATGCCAAGGGTAAAGTATTACATTCATCTATCTTCATACATGGTCAGTGGACGAGCAAAACACAATACTCATGGGATGCTTATTATTGTCTTCCAAGAAGGCATAATTTCGGCTCCAATATTATGCAAGTAGGCTAGCAGCGTACGAGATAGCCGGCAACCCGAGAACCTGACGGTTCGATTACAGATGGCCCTAAACTGAACGGTTTAGGGTTTACCCTAAGCCCTAAATCCTACACCTGAACCCTAAACCAAAGTCCAAAGCCTGAACTTGTTATTTTACCCCTTGCATGGAAGTCTTTTTTTCTCCGGGAGGCGTTAGCACGCCTACCCAATAGCGGACCATTGCAGCTAATTGCCATATACAGCAATTGTACATCTCTGGAAGACCATGAAAAAAACGAGCACTACGAAACTGTAGCATCCAAAGCCCGAAACCCTTGTACAACCCTTTGCAGCGCCTAGTATGAAGCTTCATGAGGCTTCATTCTAGAAGCACGAAACAGGCCTTACACCAATAGGAGCCCTAAACCCTAAACCCAAACCCTAAACCCTAAACCCTAAAGCCCGAAAAAGCGCTGAAATGTCTCAAACTGCCCACCTGGTAGCGCTTGGTCGAGGCGGTTCCCTCGGCACTGCTCTTGTCTGTTTCTGTTGGTGGGCTGGGTTTAGGGTTTATAAGGCTTAGTTCCTTCGAACTTCTTGGCTTAGGGTTTGTGCGCCTGCGGGGTTAAGTGTGCTGGGTTTAGCCATTTGGGGTTGGATTTTGTTTCACAGGGGGTGTTGGGCTGTGCAACTCAACCGTTGCGTTAGCTACGGATTGACATTTTGGGGTTGGGATCTTGGTTGGATTTGGGTTGAGGGCTTGGGGTCCATAGGGTTTTAGGGTTCAGGGTTGAGGGGTTTAGGGTTTAGGAGTTTGGGGGTTTAGGGCTTTAGGGTTTAGGGGTTTAGGGCTTTAGGGTTTAGGGGGTAGGGGTGTAGGGGTGTAGGAGGTTAGGGGAAAGGGAGGGGTTTTAGTGGTTAAGGGCTTTAGGGTCTATTGAGGGCTTAGGGTTCAGACATGGAGCGCATGAAGAGATTGGCGCTGTGGCTTAAGCTTTTAAATTTTCGAAAGCGCAGGGGTTGGAGAATGAGCTTGGGACGGCTTCGTTTCGGGACTTTTGGTTTAGGTTCCGGTGGATTAGGCCTCAGGCATCTATAGGGGTTTAGTTTGGGGGTGCGGGCCACTTAACAAAGGACATGTGACGGGGACCCTGTGAAAGAACCCCATAGTACCATTTAAGGGAGCCCTTGAATCAGCCCTATCATAGCACCCTTCAAGGACCTTCGATCGAAGGATGCGACACTGGCTCGTTCACACTTAACTTAGGATTGCAATCTACATGGACCTTACAGCAGCCCTCGCTACACCCCTAGGAAACCCTGATGAACCCCAAAAACACCTAACCCTAGACCCTACAACCCCGAAACCCTAAACCCTTCTAAACGCAGTTCCCGGGAGACCGACACTTGTGTTCCAGGTCACGACGGAGTTGGGCTCAGACCCTCAGAAGGAAAGCCGGGTGCGGCCGGGGGGTACAAGGAGGTTGCAGTGCTGAACACAGGGCCCTTAGTGATTGTCCCTAAGGCTCCTAAGAGGGTTTAGGGCTTTAGGGCTTTAGGGCTTTAGGGTTTTAGGGTTTAGGGTTTTAGGGCTTAGGGTTTTGGGGTTTAGGGTTTAAGGCTCCCAAGAGGGTCTTGGACTTTCTGGGGGAGGGTTCTGGCTTTGGCGGGCAGGGTCTGGGATCTTACTACGGTCCAAGAGCCTTAGGCTAGAATGGTGTTAGTATCTTCTGGCTTCCAGGGTGTAGAGTTTAGGCGACGGTTTCAAAATAAACCCTAAACCCTAAACCCTAAACCCTAAACCCTGCTGAACCTATGCCCGGTCCTACCCCTAGCACCCCTGGCCCCACCACGATAGATGGTAGGGGTGGTAGCCTCCGTGGGATCCACACAGTCCCAAAATGTCCTAAACTGAATTCTCGGATAGCTTGAGAGCCCTAAGGGTCCAAGTAGATACTTTGGCCCCAAAGTACCCAAGTAGGGACTACCTACTTTAAGGGCAAAGTACATACTATTTGGGTACCTGGACCCTTAGGAGAACAATCTGAAGCCTCCCTCAACACCCGAAGCCAGCCCGGCGTCTGCTTGTCAATCGCACCCCCCCATACGGTTGATGATATAAATCCTGCATTACCCATAATAAGGAATATACCATAATTCCCATAGTTTAGGGTCCTTAAGGTAATGCAGGATTTATACCATCAACAGTAGTACCACCCGAGCAGACACCAACCAAACATCCCGAAGCCCTACATACACCCATCACCATAAGGGAACCACCAAAACGCTAGAAAGACATAATCAACGACAAACTCCAACAAACCATAATAGGCCCTTACTATGTATCCCTTATAAACCTGACCAGCCCCCTAAATTCTAAACCCTAAACCCACAAAGCGCCGGGTGCGGAATGTTGTCTGCAGCTTCAGAGTTCTCTCCTAGGTACCGCACGTCATCCGGGAACCCTAAGGGTCCATGTACCTTTAGGGTTTAGGGTTTAGGGTTTAGGGTTTAGGGTTTAGGGTTTAGGGTTTAGGGGTTTTGGGCTTTGGGTTTTGGGGTTTGGGGTCAAGGGTTTAGGGTTAGGGTTTAGTATATACTTTGGCCTTAAAGGGCTTTGGGGCCAAAGTATCTACTATTTGGGTACGAAACAGGGAGGTCCACTAGGCGGTTTTGGACGTTCTGCAAGTCCGTACCCCTAATTCCTAAACCCTGCTCCAAATTTTGAGCTCTGTGCACAACTGCACCAGGATATTCAGCCGAACCCTCGGTGGACCTCTAAAGCCTTAAGAAACCTTAAATATTTGACCCTCACAAACCTAAAACCAAAAAACGAAACCATTTGAAGGAACGCTTCAAGGAACTCAAAGTAGACCCTTAAACATTTAGATAAACCAGAAAGACCCTAAAAGAAACAAAGCCCTTTCAAGGAACCCTTCTCGAGAGGAACCGAAAAAAGACTTTAAAAAGACCCTACACCCTTTACGGAAATCCTCTACAGCAACCCTAAAAAAGGACCCTACACAAAATCTGAAGGAACCCCCCTAGAAGAAACGACCCCCAAAGGGCGCCGGGTGGCAGGAGTAGGGCGACTTTTGACCCATTCGCTCCTGGACCTCCTTCATGCCTGGGCTACTTGGGAGTTTAGGGTTTAGGGGTTTGGGGGTTTAGGGTTTAGGGTTTAGGTTTAGGGTTTGGAGGATCGATCATGGGACTTAGTAAGTAAGGTTATAAGTCCCCGAATTGGGGTTACAAGTATAGGTACCTCAGTAGTTATAACCCCAGTTACTAAGTCCCATGATCCTTTAAGTAGTCTCCATGTACCCCTCTTTCGGGCTCCTCTTTAAGACTTTCAGGGCTCACCCTAAATCCTAAACGCTGAATATAAACCCTTAACCCTACCCGTAGGCCCCATAGTAGTTCTTTTTTGGGATTACCTGATAGGATTCTAGATATGAACCCCAAAAAGGAACTACTTTAGGTCCTGTGGGTAAACCCTCCTTTAAGAAATCTATGCGGGTTCTACAGGGCTTACGACTTCATGCCTGGGTTTTCCAAGCCCTAAACCCTAAACCCTAAACCCTAAACCGTAGATCATGGCTTCATTACATGGGCTCCTCAAGGCAATGGGTTCCCCCAAAAACAGGAATCCAGGAGGATCATGGGTTTAGGGTTTAGGGTTTGCTTTAGGGTTCCTCGTAGGGCCTAGGGTTTAGGTTTGAAGGTTTAGGGTTTAAGGGTTTAGGGTTTAAGAGTTTAGGGTTTAGGGCTTAGGGTTTTGGGTTTTGGGTTCCGGAAACGGTTCCTTAGAAGGTTTCTGAAAACGGGTTCCTCACAGGGATCTAAAAGGGTTCTTTTCAAAGGGCGGGTTTAAGGTCTACTTGGAGGAGCATGGGACATAGCAGGGTTCCTTAAAGTCCTCCTTTTCGTGGGTGCCTTCGAGGGTTCTATGATGGATCTCTGAGGGCTTAAGGCTCCTGAGGCTCCATGTACACCGTCGTCTTAAGCCTTGAAGCCCAGTACCCTGGCCCAAAAAAGTCCCTAAAGCCTAAACCCTAAACCCTAAACCCTAAACCCTATACCAAAAAGAATAAAGTTTACCTACTGGGCTCCTAAGTAAAATTCCTTCAAGAGTTCTTTGAGGGTTCTATAGGGCTTAGCGTTTCAAGCCTGGGCTCTCTCGGAGCCTTTAAGTTTCCTCTAAGGGCTTTGGGTTTAGGTGTAGGGTGTAAGGGTGTAAGGGTGTAGGGTTTAAGGGTTTAGGGTGTAAGGGTTTAGGGTTTGGGGTCTGAGGTTCGGGGGTTAGGGTTCCTTATAGGGTTCCTTGTAGGGTTCCTTTGCAAATTCCGTTTAAGGGTTCCTTTAACGGTTCCAAAAGGGGCTTAGGGCCTTAGGGGTGGAGGGGTTTTGGGGTTTAGGGTTTAG